TATATTACATGCCATGGTTTGGATGTGTAGGTTGAAAATATCAATTTCCAACTTTGGTTCATTTAACTTATACCCTTATTTTAGGTCATTTTTGCAACCGTGAGCTACAAGCATTTCCATCATCTCATGACCTCTTTAATAGCCTTAAAACATCATTTTGAACAAGTTTTATGTTGAACATTTTCCAATTTGAAGCTTGGAAATAGGAGTTATGGCCTTATGCTTGAAATGACCTGTAATCTCCAAATGACCAAAATGCCCTTGACTTGTCAAAGCCATAAGTTGAGTTCTACAAATCCTATCAAGGACTTCTAGTACTCTATAGAAATCTAAGAGGATAAGGAACAACACTCATGTTGACCAAAAGTCCATAGGAATCATCCTTATTGGGAAAAAGTTTGATGCAAGTTGGGTAACTTTCAAGCCCCCAGATTCACATACCTCAGATGACCTGTAACTTGTCAAAGTCATAACTTGGGTTCTACGAATCCTATCAAGGACTTCTAGTACTCAAATTAAATCTGAGAGCAAGCTCTACAACATTCATGTTGGGGGTGAGATGAGATGACAATCACATCTTGGGCTAAACTGCCTTGAAGATAGGGGTCAAACTAGGGGATTTTACACTGTCAAGCCTTAGAAACCCTAGCTTGAAACTTCTCAAACTCTTCAATCATGGTGAGTTGACCTTGGAATCATCCTTATAACATCTCAATGCATCAATCCATGATCACATGGCTCTTGGATTAGGTCTCAACCTTGTTCAAATCATCAGTTGACCTAGGGTTGACCCAGTCAAACCCTAATTACACCACTCATGGCTGATGCTTCTTAATCTTGCACAATGACCTGTCTAGGCTTCATGATGGCTTTCAAGACATCTCATAAGCTCTCTCAAGGCTTTAAGTCCACACTCCTGGCTTCAGAATCATCTGAGGTCTTCCCACAATTCTCAAGTTAGGAGACACACCCTCTTGGTTTCAACCACTCTCTCTGAGGATCTTCTAACTTCTCTGACAAAGATATCTACCCTTGAACACTTGAATAACCTTCTTGGCTAGCTTCATAGTCTTGTATAGCTCTTGATTGGTAATCATACCTCTTGATCTCCTGCATACATGTCAATGAAATGCAAATGATAATGCTAATGTGAATGAAATAAAACACAAGTTAGGTAAAGAAATGTTGGTCAAATTTTGGGGTGCAACATCAGGAAAACCCTTTCTTAAGGAGATAAAAAATTGTCAGACAAGCTTATGTCTTCCGTAGCCCGAACTAAATTTGCTCTGATCTTCCATGCCGTATGAAAGTACGTAGGCACGAGATGCGATATCTCGGAGAGTAACCTTCCCCTTTAACCCGTAGTTAGGCGAACTACGTTGACTCTGATTTCTCGTTCCAGACGGGAATACGTAGGCATAAAGTGCGATACTTTGCCGAGTCATTTTATTTTCTTTTTACCCAGACCTGTAGAATAGATAGAATAACGCACCCTTAGATAGAAAACAAGCGTGGATCCCGTCGAGTACGACGGACATGAGGGGTGTTAATACCTCCCCCTTGCGTAACCGACTCCCGAATCCAGGATTTGGTTGCGATGACCATTCCTTTCCCTCTTTGCGTTAGGTTTACTATGAGCGTTTCCTTTCCCTCTTGTGGGATAAATAACGCACGGTGGCGACTCTTCTGTCATAGCCGGCGCCGATTTTCGCAGTAGCGACACATTGTCACAAGTGTTAATGTAGAACTTCGATACCCCAAGTTGGACGATATACAAGTTTGAATTCCTTTTTCCTTTAGAAACCATCATTGAACCTTTCTTTAACTTCAGTTCATAGGCGGAAAAACAATTATCATATCCTTCATTATCCAACTTTTTAACAGATAAAAGATTAAATCAAAGTTTCGGGATGTGTTTCACGCCTTTGAGAACTAGAGTAGTCCCATTTCTAGTTTCGACACAAATATCTCTTATTCCGATTACATTAGCTTGCCTGTTATTTCTCATACAAGCAACCCCAAAGTCATCGGTCTCGTAAGTTGAAAAAAAATCACGCCTTGAAGTTGCATGAGTAGAAACACCACTATCAACCACCCAATCCATCTCATCACATGATAGATTGACATTCTCTATACAACTATCACAAACAACAAAGAAATCATCAACAATAGTAACATTTTCATTATTGTTACCTTCCCTTTTGTCGTTGTTGTAGTTCTTTTTCTTGATTTCCCTTTTCAACTTCCGGCAATACCTTTTTATGTGTCCTTTTTCCCCGCAATGATGACACTCATTATTAGAGAATCTATTAGAGCCTTCTTGTGATTTACCACGTGACGTCCCTTGATTACTTGAACCTCTACTTTAAGGTATCCCCCTCGATTCGGTAACCAACACCTTGGAATGTGAAGAAGAACCTTGTGATTTATGCCTCAACTCCTCGTTCAACACACTAATTTTAGCCAAGTCCACGAGATGATGCCATTCGGAGCAGAGTTAGACAAATATGTCCTAAAAGTCTCCCAAGATTAGGCAAAGTACCAAGAAGCCACAAACATTGAATTTCATCATCAAAATTAAGATTCATCACCGACAATTGATTTAGAATCCTTTGGAAAGTATTCAAGTGATCGGTCATTGGTGAACCATCATTATACCTCAATGACATCAATTGCTTGAATAAAAAAAAATTATTGTTCCCCGTCTTTCTTGCAAACAAATCCTCAAGTTTGGTCCAAAGAGAGCGAGCATGAATCACCGATATCACATGATTTAAAATATTATCATCCACCCATTGAAGAATGTAACCACAAACATGTTTATGCAACAAACCTCATTCTTCATCACCTTTTCCATTGGGTTTTTCATTAGAGAAAACATGCAAGTGAAAGCCTTTATCATAAAGCAAATCTTTCATCTTCCCTTTCCAAACATTATAGTTAGATCCATTCAAACTCACCATCCTAGATGTGTTCATCTCCATCGTTACATATATCAAACCACAACTCTAGATACCACTTGTTGGGAGGAAATCCACAACGGAACAGGATAATTCAACAACACAATATTTCTCAAATATTAAATGCAATGATAATCAACAAGACACATCAAACAACAAAACACAACTTTAGCATGATAAAACCTATGTTAACTAAGAGTAAAAAAATCACGGGATCTGTAGGTCACTTAAATCTCCACTATAATCAAACAATATGTACAATCAAGGTTCTCTCTAACACTAGTTAGAGGCATACATCGACATCATAAAGATCTACAATCAATCTTAGAATACAACAAAAATCAAAAGAGACAATCAACCAAAATAACCACAAAAAACTGCACCTCAGAAGTGGACTTGTCAGACAGACTTAGAATACTCGAAATCTAATCTCCACCATGCATAATGTACCTCTATGAGACGCTGTCACAAAAAATCAGAACGATCCGACAGTTGAATTGTGAAAAAGATTCGATCTCGTGGGACTGCTTTGTGCTAAATTAGAGCTGCGAAAATTTCACTCTTCTCGCAATTTTTCTTTTGTTGTTTCTCACCTTATAAACGGTTGACCTAATTCTCTTTGTTTTATAATAACAAAGGCTTACAGACACATGGGCTACTAATCCACATTCATTTGGACTACTCTAAATAGGAGGGATAGCCCAACAAAAATATACCACTTTAAAGAGACGACTTTATTCTGTGTTTATATCAAGTGGCAGTGTGAGTCTCACATTGAATGAAAAGTGGAGGTTAAACACTTTAGACCTAATTTTTTAAAGTTTTAGGTTAAAATGTGATGTCCAACTCATTATAAGTGTTTGTTCAAAACTCAATATGATGATTCCCAAACTCTCTCATAACTTAACAGAGTTACCAGGGCTCCTAGTGAAGAAAATCCTCCTGACCAAGATGTTCAAGTTTTGTGTTTCACTTAGTACAAGCAATAGTAGTGCCAGGGCTCCTCCTAGTGAAGAAAATCCTCCTGACCAAGATGTTCAAGTTTTGTGTTTCTCTGAGTGCAAGCAATAGTAGAGTCAGGGCTCGTAGCAAAGAAAATCCCCCTAACCATGATGTTCAAGTTGTGTGTTTCATTGAATGCAAGCAATAATAGTGCTAGTAGATGTAGATAAAAAAACTCCTATTTAAGGAAAGGATACATATAAGAATAGATAGACTCGCATTCGAAAGAAAAATTATTAATATATCAAATATGAGTATGAGTCATATTGAATGGAACAGTGAATGTTAAATATTTTATATGTTGGAACTCATAGATGAATGTCTTAATGTCTTAATGTTTTAGATTAAGACGGGGATGAGAGAATTAATGCATTAGTTGATAATCTATTAAAGCAGCATCAAACATTGTGAAGAATCAAGATGCATCAGGAAAGAAAAAAAGAGAGGACAGCTATGGTCCCTCTACATCCCTTCACAATTAGTAAAAATAAGTATTTGTGCCAATTGCCAAAGTAGCTTCAATGAATAGGTAGAAAATCAATGTGTTAAACTTAATAAGAAAATTAACTTTTCTTTAGTAGAGCACTAAAGAACAAAGCAGCTTCAAAAATGCAAGCAGAATATAAATTTTAAGTCCATGCTATACTTTTAAAAATAAACATAAAGATTTCAGTTTCACTTGTCTAAACATATACTATAAGGCACATTCTTTAAATGCATAGATACACATCTTATAGCCCAATCCAAGCAACAACAAAAAAATGAATGTATAAATATTACATAATGATAAATCCTAACTTTTCATTAGGCCTAAAGCTTAATATAATAAATAGCCTGCATTATCATCATAAGAATGAAAATGAACTTAGAATCAAAAGAAGGAAATTTAACAATGTGATCAACATTATGTAATGCTACAAAATGTAGTTGTAGCTATACCATGCTGTTAATTCCTTGTAACAGCAGAAAATTTATCAAAGAAATAGAAAATGAAGAAAAAAATTAAATTAAATAAACCATGTAGTTGTTATTTTTGTCCTATTCTGCTGCATCCCTAAGGGATTCAGAAGTGAGCCACAATTTCTTCTGAATGATAAAAACAACTTCATTTCCATCTTGGTCAGAGTCAGAACTCGAATCTGCAGTTGCAACTTCTTCCCAATGCAATGCTGTTAGGTACTTTTTAACAAATTCGATCACGGGTTGTTTATCTCGTATGATTATGAAACCGGTTGGCCTAACCAAACGATCCATCTCGAGTAATAGATCTTGTGGACTGCACTCTTTCGCTTGTACATCAGAAAATACAGTCCATGCGTGGAGTAAATCATAAGTGCGCGGGTACGTTGAAAATGCTTCGCACCTGTAATCATTATCACATTACAATTTTAATCATGTACAGTGTTGGATTCTATCAAATGTGTAGTGATATATTGAAGATTGAAAATGTTAGGTTTGTACCAGTCATGAGTAGTCCCGATGAGTCCTCTGTCGAATACAATTCTAAGCGTGCTTGGTCCTTGATGAGGTACAACATTCATCACCCAAACGTCTTTGTCTTTAAGAGCGGCGGCAAATGAACCCATGTTTGCTTTCATATCCATCACGTTTCTGATGGTGTTTGATGAGATTTTCGATCCCATGAGATTCCAGTAATTCTCAACTCTTTTTTGCCATAGTTCCTGTACCATATGACAGAAGTTAAGCATGTAGTGTGTTTAAGTATTTATCATGTATCTTTGTTATTACTCGCTTCGTTCCTTTTTTTTATTGTTTTGTAGAAAAGGATAAATTGACAAGTTCCCGTTACCGTGTCCTTCTCGAAGATTTCACTTGAGTAGCCAAGGTCAGCTAATCTAGGAGGAGGACTCGTTAATCTTGAAGGCCATGGAGCTAATTCACTACCCTGGGCTTTGTGGTCATCTGATAAAAAGAAATGCTCAGGCGCGTGGAATACTAGAAGGAAACTAGAAGGCATAGAAATAAAATGCAAAATATCGAAGGAAAAAGTACTCACGGTCAGAATAAGGCGTTATGCAAATTTCCATGTTCACTCCCCATACTGCATCAGGGTCGTCGTCAGACTGGCAGAGAGGAGGACGAGTACCGGGTTCTCTCTCCATATAGCAATCGTTCGTAAGAGGTTTTTGCCAGATGACTGTTTGGTTTTTCTTCGAAGCGATTCTCCAACACATGCGTCCCACAAGGGCACTCATTTCTCTCCATATCCTCAAATCTTCTTCGTCCTGAGCATATGCTTCTGGAGATGAGTACGCGAAATAACCTCCCGGCCTAAGAACCCGGTCTAGCTCAAGGAGTAGTATTCCATCTCTCTGAAGCCAATCAATCCGACAACGAGAACAATGTGCAAGTTCAAAAGATCTACTTGGGTAAGGGAGTCTCTTGGTTCCCAAGACACCAAGATATGCAGGAATTCCTCTTTCTAAAGCAAACTGAATTTGATTTTGATGCACATCGTTTGGTGCCAAGGACATTGCAATGATATTAGATGCCAGAAGATAACCTCCAAAACTCGCAACACCACAGCCAACATCAAGAACAGTCCGTAGTCTTCCTTCGTTGTTAAGATTATTGTTTGAAAAGTTGAGCATCTGGCAATAGAAATGAACGAACAAGCGGTCAACCACAAATCGCGGAAAATAAAAGTTTGTTCAAATCCGTCTGAGCAACAATATTTTGTAGTAAATAGTTCATCACATGACAATAACGATTTGTTCAAATTCCGCTACGCTATAGCTCCACTATTTAGCAACATTAGAATGAACATTGCATGACACTGATAGAAACTTGCAAAGAACACAAGTTTGATGACACTAAAATCAATAGAGAGGCGCAGCAAGCCTTACATTTGCGATGGCTGCAATGTACTTATCAGCTCCTTTGTGAAAATGAGTCCCTCCTCCGGGGAAAAAAATCTTTTCACCTTTCACAACCATCCAGTTCTGGTCGGACTTCTCTTGTGCAAGATGAGTATGCGGTATATTTACTTTCCACACCTCCTCCCTGCTCTGTGGCCATTTAATAGGGACCTGAAACACCAAAGACGATGATGATATGTTATAGTTTTAGATTAACAACTAGTCTCCCTTTTCAAAAACGAAGAAAATAAACATCTAGTCTCGGTATATCTTTACCTTGTACCCTGGGGGAGGAGGAATCAAGCAATTGAACCGTCTTTCTGCGGGAGGGCAATGTCTCTCGTAGTGTTCCATCAAACTAAGATCCAACTTCAGTCTCAGTTGATAGATAAGATGTCTGTCCAAGCATGGAATCAACTCTGAATGATGATCATCGCAAACCTTCAAAAACAAGGCTTCCAAAATCAAATATACTCATCAAATATAATAGAAGAAGCATAAAGTGCCAACTTAGAACTAACAAAATCTTACAGGGAAATTCTTCGGTACAAAATCATCATCTCCCTGCACTAAACTTGTAGATTCCTCTTGTTGCTTGCTACCTGCATCATCATCTGCGCCCAAATACGACGCCCCGAGTCTTTTCAATGATCTTCCATATTCAGATGTAGAACTATTTTGAGAGCCAAAGATGGATCCTTGAAACACATATACAAAACCAAGAAATACTACCACACCACAAACAGAAGCAACTAAACGCTTCGGCGATTCATCAGATCTGCCCCTCGACATTTATCTATTGAAAGTAAGACAAATCCAAATATAATTCTCACTACTCAGGCATGCACTACAACTGATCACAGCATTGATCTTTGTTTCGACACACATGAAGCACCGAATTCACCATCCAAACACCTCATGAACAAGAAACCACGATATTTCGAATTAAATAGCACAATTGAATCAAACTCTCTAAGAGACCTATCAAATTCAAGGATTAGCCTGCAAGCAAAGGGACAAAAGTCAGCAAAACAAACACAGAAATCTATTAATATTTTGTCATCTTGAACAAAATCTGATATTAATGATAACAATTATCCATAGAGTTAAATGTGATTAATAACTACTTTACTAGATCTAATAAAGAGGAGTTAGTGTTACTAACAATTCAATTCAAGCACAACTCAAAGAAAGAAGAGAAAATCAAAACGAAATGACATGAAAATGAGCACCGACAGATAGTAAAAAATGAAACAAACCCAGATAGCGAAATGCTCTAGATCATCAAAAAAAGAAAACTTTATAAAAATTGAGAAGAGAAGAGAAATGAAAAACTCACTGGGTTGAGGTAAAATGTGTGAAAGAAAGAACAGATTTGGAGAGTGCAGAAAGAGAAGAGAGGGTATCGGATCTAAGTGTCTTGGTTATTTTGATATGCTATTTTGAGAAGTGATGAAAAGGGATGTGTCACATTGTCCCATTGTTGAGGTTGTTAATTTAAGGTGGTCTCTTTCTTTGTCTCTCCCTCCCCAATCATAATTTGGTTGCAAAATTTTTATTAATTAAACACATAAAAATTTATATGATAAGCTTAGAGAATAATTTAGAATGGTGAAAGTAATTTAGTTGGTTGAATTTTACCTTTGAAAGATAAATAATTGAGATATCACATATTTTTACTATGATGTACTTTCGGTTTAATATTATTTTGGAGATTAAATTCTTATAAGCATTTTAAGTTACTATATGGATTAGTTTTCTTTAATGAAGAAACTACTAATCGGATTTAAAATTTGACTAGATTAAAACAATGTAAGAAATTTCTTCTATCTACACCATATTACTATTTATATGTGCATAATGATTTATTTATGGTCCCCTATATTATTAGACATATTGATAAAAATAAACGAAGTATCTATGGAATTATTCATTTGTTTTATCTAAATATTTATAGGATTTTTACTTTATTTAACTATATTCACCACCATTTACAATCTAATTCAAAAATTATATGTTTAAAGTTATAATCTCAAGTGAAGTGATGTTGAGAGAGCTTGAGATTCAAGAATCATGTCATTGTTAAACTGCATCATCTTCCAAATAGCAACACTGGTAATTTGACTTTTCTCGTCTCTGGCCACAACACTCATACTTGAGTAACCATCAACAAATAAGTTTGCATTTGAATTATATTTACAACAATAGTTTGTATTTGAATTATATTTACAACAGTTTGGTTTTAGTTGCTTCGAGCCTCCGCTTTGTTAGTCTTTGTAATCTTGATATCTTTGTTGCTTCTTGTAATATTGTTCTGATTGTGGTTTTTATTGCTAGTATTCCATATTTTGCTTTTATCGGCTTAACCAATCTTTATTTTTTGGTCTATTTGTGATTATTGTCGATATAAATTATTGTTTTGCCTTTATCACCTTTACCTGTCGTGTTATCCTTGTATGTGTTATATATTCAGTTAGGTTAAGGACCTTAGAGAAATTGTTAACCATTTGCAAGGCTTACTCAATCAACCGATTTATTAGTATGTCTTTATTTTCAAAAAACTTTAGATTTCTAATCATCTAAAACTTGTCTATAACATTGAAAATGATGTTTAGGGTTTTTATTTTTGAATTCATGATTATATGAACCACCAACACCGTGAACTTCAATTATAGAAAAAAGTTGAAGTTTACGTTTAGTAAAGATACAAATTATGTTTAGGAAGCTCAAATATAATCCTTGAAGCAATATTTAATTGTTTTAATGATATTGTTACATCTAGGACAAAATATGTGGCATTGTGTGTCTCTTTATTTAGGTTATATTTAACTAGAATGATATTGTGAATAAGTCTTTAAATTGAGCTATGTTGTCTAAAAGTCATTTTATAATTCCATATTTAATCTAAAAAACTCTTAAACTAATTAGGGTTAGAACATCATGATATGGTTCCGCTATCCCACTCTTTGGTTTGATGGTAACCAGGTCTAATAATATAATCGTCATCATTATCCACATGATGTAATCTTCTTCTTCTTCTTATTTAACATGGGTATTTGGCTTATTGCTACTCTTTATAAAGAGAGAAAAGTCATATCAATTACATATTGGTTTTAATAGATATTTTTCTTGTACATTAGGTCATTAACTCTACTAACCTTTGTTTCAAGGGCTTATGTGTTAGGATTTTAAATCCAATTATGAGAAATGTATTTGTCCTCCCAAGAATTGATGGGTTTTTTCAAACAAATCAACAACTTCTTTTCTTAAAAATCCAACTAACATGAAGAATATTTTGTCAAAATAAAGCTTGCGTTTTTTCTAGCCATAACTTGAAGGAGTCATACCTTAGAAAAGAATTTAGATTTTAAGCATTTAACAATGAAATATTTAAGTTGTAGCTCTATGTGAAAACATGTATTAATGATTGAATCAACAAAATCAAATATCATGAACATCATCAAAGAATGGACCTGAATTTAAAAAGTGAAATAAACTCTCTGATGATTGACTCAACAAAGATCAAATAATATGAACATCATCAAGGAATAAACCTGATTGTTAAAGCACACATCTAATCTGAAGCTTAAGTGTTTTTCTTTATTTAGGATCATAACTGTAATATAGTGTGTAACTCTCTTAATACTAAAATATATACACTCTTAAAAACTACTTTTCAAACTTCATATGTTTCAAACTCTTCTTAAAAAAACTCTTAGGAAAAGCCAAAAAAAAAATATTTTTAAGCATAATTGATTATGAAGTATTTTTTGGCCTATAATCAATTATGGATGTGGTATAATGAATTATAAAATTTTTATTGGTAAGTAATCAATTATGGATCGAGCTTAATCGATTATTGATAATATCTGAGAAATTTTTTCCTAAAATACATATGCATAATTGATCATAGCCTTGCTTATTGACCGGTTTTAGGTCTTTTCCAAAGTTTTATTTTTTGTAAACCTTGTTGATTCCTCTAATATACAAGCGCACAAGAAATCTGGACAAAAAAAAAGCCTTATCTTCTTCTCTTGCACTATTTTCATAATTTTATACACTTCATATATTTTTAGTTCTTAGAGAAAAACCATTATATAGTAGCTTATGTAAATGTTGTTGTCATTCTGATCTATTTTATAAAATTAAGATAATATTGTTTTCATGAACTTATAAAGTATTATTTTTCAAGTTGTGTATTATTTGTACATATTCGGTCACTACTTACTTAAAAATTGTTTTGGCAATGTTAGCAAAACTTTTAAATTTAATGTATATGCACGAACAAGAACCTAAAATGCCTCAATAAATATTTTTGAATAGCAAAGCATATCAATATATTAAATAGAAAGAGAAAAAAGAGTGAAAGTACAAAATACAAAAAAAACACAAAATGTGCTTAGGAAACAAACAAAATCGACTAAAAACAAAGGCTAGAGGAAAACACAAAAACCACAAGTAACACCGGCCAAAAATATAAACAAGCCTATACGAGAGCAAAAACTATCACTCCAGCCAACTACCCTCAAACCCGAACTAAACATTTTCCACAACAAACCACCCTATAGGTAGAGCAAACGAAAGGAAAGAGAATTCGAACACTGCCATCTGATCTAATCAAAGCTAAAGTCACAATATAACATGCCTCTAAACAGAGCAAGTTTGAGGAAGAATACCCTAAACACGTGCTAAAAACAAAGATAAGGCATCTAACCCTCCAACACATCCTAAATACCAATTCAAATTAGCGGATCCCACTCCCAATCTAACAAAGAAACATCGAAACATGGAGCATGGGCATAAACCAACAAGCATTCATGTCTAAAAATAGTTTAGTTTTGTAAATACTAAATAGACCATACCATAAAATGTTAGATCTAAACTAGGCACAAAGACGCCACTTTTACCTCCCATAAACCCTACAACATAACAAACACACTAAAATCAATTGTGGCAAAGGCTCTGGCTGCCATCTAAACACTTTATATCAGATAGTTGAAGTTATATTGCATGTCAAACAAAGGTGGTTAGCTGACTCCATTTGTCCAATACACTTCACCCTACTACTATGCATCACTATTTGATACCTCAAGAGATTTTTCCTAGTCAGCAACCTATTTTGAAGCAACTCCCGCGTGAAGACAATGAATTTAGTGTTAGACGAGGGTGTAACGCTCCAATTTATTTAATTAATTTTTCGTAAATAATATTGTGTTATTGTATGTGTTGGTTGATGTTTTGATGTGATAGGGTAACCCTTGGATGTAGGATAGTAGCCTTAGATATTAGGATTTAAGGTGCTGAGGGTGTCTGAGCATAAAGGGGTAGACCATAGTAATATTAATGATTAAACAATTATTTTAATTATTATGATTATGATGATATAATAAAATAAATACTTGATTTAGATCCATTTAAATAAATATTTAGTGAGATTAATATTTATTTAATTTAGTGGGAATAAGGTGTTAATTAGAAAGAATAATAAAATAGAAATACAAGGTGTAAAGGAAATAAGGACAAGGTGGTCCTTTGGGAGAGTAAGTTCAGGGTAGAAGTGGAAAATCATACTTTGAAGGATAATTATTATTAGAAAAAGAGAAATTGAGAGAAGGGAGGCTATTTTTACATTCTACGTGAAGTAGTGAGAAGAAATCAGAGAAAGAGGTTAGGGCAAGGAAAGAAAAACACACAAAGAGCACTATTGCTAGAGGTTGAAGAGATCATTGTTAGAGAAATTATAAGGTAAGGGTGGGATTTCCTTTTGTATAAGGGATTGCATGATAACATGT